AAGAGCCATACCCACTGATTTACACATTATTCAGGAGTGCTTTGCACCAGAAAAGAAGAGAAGTGGCAACAGAGACCCTCTGACTGGCCAAGTCTAAGAATTTACTCTCTGGCTCCTTGCAGAAACAGTATGCTGGCCCCCTGGACCATGTATTAAAGGGCTTGATGGAAACAGCAGCCAGGAAAACAACAGCTCAGGTCTCCAGGCACAACAGGCACAGGCTCCACCTGCAGAGCTGAAGCTCACTGCACTCGGCTTGTAATTACCCTAGGGGAACAGTAATTGTGCTTTTTATAAAAATTGAAGAACACTACATCCCAAACCAGCCAGCCCTGACTCCTGACCCTGCTGTGCCTCTTCAGCCGCAGGGATGCTTACCTTTGTTGTACATGTTCGTCGGCACTTGGACGTCGCTCAGACTGATGTTCACAGGCAAGTTATTAAAATGATCATTGGGAGCTAAGATGAATTCTTTCCCCAGTTCCAAAAAGTTCCCATCTTTGTCTCTTTCATTTATCAGCACAGCGTTGAAGTATTCATACTGAAAGAGAAAGACGGAAAGCATTACATGCTGCATAGGGATGGGGCAATGAACCCGGGCCGAGCGTTGGCCACATGCTGCCCTTTTTGTATGGATTCTGATCGGTTCCTGTGAGCTGTGTTTTACATACTACCCATGGCTGCTTTTGCACGGCTGTGATAACACTATAAGGGTATTTGCTGCTGCCATTAAACATTCTTGAAAACCCAGAATTTAAAGGGCTACCCAGTAGTTTCTCATATGAACATAAAGAAAATTGTCCTAAAGATATTTTACTCTTTAAATCCTGAAGACAGATTCTGCTGAAAGAGAGCTTATATTTAAGTTGAGGGTGGAAGAAAATCAACAACAAAAACAAGTAAATATATAATATGTCTGATCATAATACTTACTGTGAAACAGTAAGAAAGCAGGGTAAGGGGAACAGCAACTGTGGGAGGGCGGAATTTACACTGGAGCTCAGGGCAGATCGTGCTGCTCTGGTGACCACTGCAGAAAGACTGAATGAGGAGGACAAGCTAGGGGAGCGGGACCCAGAGGAAGCATTCCATGCAGACGGGGCAGTGAGGGAAAGGCTCGCGGACGGGAATAAGCAGGCACCTTTCACAAACGGCTGCATCACCACCATGTAACATACACTGAAGGTTCTGTTTGTACCAGGAATTGTTCTAAGCTTTTCTTGTGTGAAGACAGCCAGTGGAAGGTGCAGCAGGAGAAACAGATCAGGACCTTAAAAGAACCATGATTAACATGAAAAAGTAGGTAGCATATAAAATAGATGCATAACGTAAGCAGAGAGGTGGCTATTGTCTAAAAAAATATTAAAAGCCAAAAGTGCAAATGCCATAACAGAAATGAACAATGCTTTGGATGGCTCACCAGGAGACCAGACACAGCTGAAAAAGCAACCAGGGAACCCAAACAGGAGTCCACAGAAGCATCCCAGATGGAAAAGGAAAGGCGGAGAAAAATCATCAAATATCCAAGAACTGTGAGATACTTATGAAAGAAGTAATACAGATATAATTGGAATACTGGAAGGAAAAAAGAGAAAGGAGTTGGGCAGGGAGGTGCACACCTGTAATCCTAGCACTTGAGAGGCTGAGGCAGGAGGATCACTGTGAATTCCAGGCCAGCATGGGCTATGTAGTAAGATCCTACCTCAAACAACCAAAAAGAGAGGAGAGAGAGAGGACAAAGAGCGAGGAGAGAGAGAGAGGGAGAGGGAGAGGAAGAGAGGAAGTGAAGGTATATTTGAAAAAATAATGGCTGAGAATTTTCCAAAATTAATGACAGGCACCAAACTACAGATACAAGCAGCTCAGAAATGATTAAGCACAGTGAAGACTATGGAAAAATCTATAATTGTATATCAAACTCAACCTGCAAAAACATACAGTGATACTGTACTTCATGAACTTAATCTGTTTTGGAAAAGATGGCCATATCTGTGCTTGTGAGGGAAAGATGACCACAGTCGTGTTTGTTACCCAATGCAGTCTGCAAACAGAAACAAAAGTTTGCCACGTTTCTGTTTGCAAACCAAACTGTCTGGAAACAAAAGCATTTGTGGACTGAGGTACCACTGTAAAAGATAAAATCTTGAAAAAATCTTATAGAAAAACAAGGATTCCTATTATATTAGATTTCTCTTTGGAAATTATGTAAGCAAGCAAGAGAGCACACTAGTGAAGGCCAAAAGACCTTCAAAGAGAAATGGATAAATTCTCTATTACACTGAAGACTTCAGAACCCTCTCAACAGTTACTGACAGACTCAGTAGGCAAAAGTTGGTAAGGATATAGCTGAGCTGAAGAGCACCATCAACTGGACCTTATGAGCATTTATAAAATACCTTATATCACAGAATGGCCTTTCTTCTGTGAGGATGCTTGCTTACAATATTTACTTTAGGCCATAAAACATACCTTTACACATTTAAAATAATTTAAGGCATACAAAGTATGCCCTTGCTCCATCATGAATTTAACAAGAAATGAATAACAAAAGGATAGCTCCAAAATTTCTAAGTACTTGGAGATTAAACAATATACTTCTAAGTAACACATGAATCAAAAAGCCATCTCCTAAGAAATTTCAAATTAAAAAAAAAATGAAAATAAAATTGACCAAAATTTAGAAGATGAAGCAAAAGCAATATTTAAATGGAAATTTATAGTATCACATGTATATATTAGAAAAGGAAAAATATCTAGAATCAATCATCTAAGTTTCTACTTTTGGAAACTAAAAGTAAAGGTAACACTAAATCTAAAGTAAATAGGAAAAACTAACAAAATTTTCACTTTAATTTGCAGAAAAAAAATCTATAAAATAGAAAAAATCAATAGAGAAAATTAATGAAATCGAATTGTTTCTTTGAAAATATTTCTTACAATGAAAAGATAGGAGGTAAAATCAGCAAAAGAAACACACACGAAGCAAAGTTCTGAGGAAGCCAGGTACTGGCTCAGTGCAGTTACACATGCTGCACCTAATACTTCCAGTAATGAGTTACAACGACACATCTCAAATGGTGTCCTTCAGGAAAGATCAACAGACTCAATCCTCAAGACTTTTACTGATGGGTGTTCGTGCAGCAACACTATTTTCCAACTGAACATACCTGACAGTTACACAACTCCATACCAAAAAATTTCAGAGTCATTCTTTTCCAGAGAGTATAACAGATTACCAAATAAATTTCAATAAATTACAAATGTCGGAAATCTAAATAGTATGTTCTCAGATCATAATGGACTACATTTAGAAATCAATATATGATATTAATATGTAAATATCAATGATATCCAGATATCTAATAAAAGATAGTGTCTAGAAAAGTCCTAAGGATTTGGAAATTTAAAGATACATCCTTAATAATATATGTGAGAAGGAAGAAAGTGACGTGGGAAATTAAAAAGTATTTTAAAATCAATCATAGTTGAGTGGGGCATGGTGGTGCACACCTGTAATCCCAACACTCAGGAGGCTGAGGCAGGAGGATCACTGTGAGTTCAAGACCAGCCTGGACTACACAGTGAGTTCCAGATCAGTCTCAACTACATAGTGAGACCCTGTCTCAAAAAACAAAAAACCAAAACAAAACAAAAACTACAAGCCTCAAAACAGTGAAGTTTCAGTTTATGACTGTAAATTGATCATCTCAGATATTTTGTCACAGTGACAGAAAATTAAGTAATATAATTTTTTTTATAAAAAGGAAGAAAGCATAAAATACCACCATCAGGAATGAACAGGGAAACATTACTACACATCCTACAGATAATTAAAAGATAAGAGAATGTTACTTTGTGCTAACAAATTCATTAATTTAAATATCAAACTCCTTGAAAAACAAAATTAATAGAATACAAAATATGATTTTTTCCAGACATACAAAAGACACTGATTTCACAATTAATAGCTATGCCAAAATAAATTTAAAAATTATTGTACTCTAAGTTCATAGGCCTTAACTAATGAATTGTATCAAATATGCAAGGACAAAACACAAGTGATTTTATATAGACTCTTTTGGAAAATTACAGGACAGAATACTTTCCAATGTATCTAACAAGGGCAGCAGAACCTTGACACCAAAACCAAACAAGAAAAATTTTAAAACTATATAATAATATTACTCAAGAAACTAGAGGCAAAAACCTTAAAACACTGAAATAAATCTACCTATAATTAAAAGTACAGTATCTTTCAGGAATTCAAGGTTGGTTTAACATTTAAAAAATCAAAGTGATTCATATTACATTCAAATAACAAAGAAAAACATAATTTAATCAAATAGATGCAGAAAAATATTTTTCACTTTTTGTTCATCATAAAAATGCTCAGAAAATTAGGAATGGGAAAAATATCCTCAACTTGATAAAGAGAATTTACAAAAAAATCCTACAACTAACATTACACAGTTGACCCTCCATATCTGTGGGTTCTACATCCATGGTTTCAACCAATCAGAATCAAAAGTATTTGGAAAAAAAAATCAAGTCTGTACTAAACATATAAAGACTTTTTTCTTGTAATTTTTTCCTAACCTTAGTATAAAAAAATATTGACACAGCATCTATACTGCTCTAGACATGAATTAAAGATGTGCGTAGGTTATAAACAAATACTGCACAATTTTACATAAAGCAATTAAACATCCACAGATTCTGCTATTCATGGGAAACCTAGAACCAATCCTGCACAGATATTGAGGGATGACTATGCTCAGAATGAAATGCTGCCATTGTTTTCCCCCTCAGATTATGAACAAGGCAAAGACATCTTTTCCTTCTTACTCAACATTATACCTGTGGTCCTGACAAGTAAGTAAGACAAATAAATAAGTAAAGGTATTAGAAAGGAAAATGTCTTTAATTGCAGACAACATGATTATCTATATAGAAAACCCTAAGGAAGCCACATAATATACTGTAGGAAAAAATTCATCAAAGTGCTTGCTTGGGCAGCACATATACTAAAACAGGAACGACACAGAGAAGATAACCACGGACCTGTGGAAAGATGACATGCAAACTCGTGAAGTGTTCCATATTTCTAAAAAATTCATCAAAGTGACAGGGCACAACATAAATACACACACACACACACACACACACATATATAGTTATATATTAACAAAGAACAACTGGCAATTGAAAATAATAGCAATTACAACAGCACAAAAATATCAAACTCTAAGGTATAAATTTTTTAACGTATGCAGTGCCTAGAAATTACTAAGCCTTGAAAACTTCAGACACTGTTGTGACAAATTAAGGAAAACGTACATGAATCAAGAGAGATAGCTTGTTGAAGAACTAGAAAACTCTGTATTAAGAGGTTGATTCTTCCTAAACACATCTGTAAATTCAATGAAATCTTGAGGAAATATCAACAATCATTTTATAGAAACTGCGAAGTTGATTTTAAATTTCATACAGACATTAAATGGACTTAAATATTCAAAACAATGTTAAAAAGAAGAAAAACATCCAAGGACTCATACTCCTGGTTTAAGCCATACTCTAATCAAAACAGTACGTATATTAGCATTACAACAGCCAAAAAAGATAAAGCAAAAGAAAGTAAAAAAATAAAGCTACACATGTAAAATCAACTGATTTTGGGGAAAGGTGCTTTGATGAGAAAAGGATTTTCAATAAATTATACTGGAAACAATGATTAAATATATATATTTTTTAAAAACTCATCTCCTTAAATTGAAAAACAGAACTGCAATGTTTCTGGGAAAATTAGTGTTTTTGGCCTTCAGATACACACTGATTTCTTAGATTATAAGAACTACTTATAACTTTTTTTTTTTGGTACCGGGGATTGAACTCGGGTCCTTGTGCTTGCAAGGCAGGCCACAGAACTGAACTGCTGAGCTAAATCCCTGGCCTAGAACTACTTATATTTTAAAAATTCATAATTTGGCTTTATGAAAATTCAAAACTTTTGATCATCAATTTCATTGTTAATAAAACAAATGCAAAAGCTACTGCTAAGAAGAAGTATTCATAGTTCAGTAATTGGACAAATGATTTGTACTCAGAATATGTATTAAACTCCTATAGTTCATCTTAAAATGTCAGCAATAATATGGATTCATGTTACAGAGGAGACTTTAATGCAGACTAAAACATGTTCAACATTATTAGCCATCTGCAAAATGCAAAATAAAACCCCAACAGATGTCATTTTATAACTATACAAAAGCTAAATTTTAAAATTCTGACAGCATTTAATATCTATGATACAGAACCATCACAACTTATATATGCTGCCTATGAAAATATAAAATGCCATGAGCACTTTGGGGAAAAAAAAACTGCAGTCTCTTGTGAAGTTCAACACAAACTGCCTTATGACCCTGCAATTCCACTCCAAGGTATTTACCAAAGGGAAATGAAAACATATGCCCACAAAAATATTTAAGTGAATGTTCATTTTTAAAAAGCCCTGTTCATAATAGTCAAAAACTAGAAAGAACCCAAATGTTCATTAACAGGTGAAGGGATAAGCAAATCTGTGCTATATCCATCTAATAGATTACTGCAGAATTCGGGAACAAGTTACTGACATTCAAACAAGGAACGAGTTCAACAAACATAAGTGGAGGAAACCAGACTCCATGGAATTTTATATGTGATTTTATTTATACAGTGTTCTAGAGCAGGCAAGGTAAGTGTTTAACTGTGATGCCAACTGGGCTGCTTCTGGGATAGAGGTGGGTGTTGTGACCTGGCAGGGCGGGGAGGGGAGGAGAGAATACTTGTCAGGCTGTATCTTCATGAAGCATGGGTTATTCAGCACGGGTATCTATTTCTCACTACACACTGAATTGTATGCTAAAGAACTGATGCATTTTACTATATAGAAATTAATGCTTCAAAGGTTCTGGGGGTTTAGCTCAGTGGTTCTGCTGTCTGCTTTGAAAGCCCAAGGTCCTGAGTTCGATCTCCAGTACCAAAAAAATCTACCACCTGCTTCGAAACTAATGCTTCAAAAAATTTAAGTCACAAAACTCTGAATTCTTTTTGAATTATTCATTCAATAACTTTACAGAAACACAGCTCAAGCAAACAAATTCCATGCATAACCACTGTGTAAAGCACAACTTACTGCCATCTGGCAGTTAGAAACAAAAGAAGTCATCTCTTTTGATAAAACACCACCTAGGTCAATGCCTTATCATGCAGAAAACCTTGACCAACCCATAAAGGCCCAAGGCAAAGGAGAGGAAGGGTCCCTATTTGAAAGAAGGAATCATGTCAATAGCACTTCTAGCCCCTGCACCCCGTTAAGGATTAAGTCCTCATTTCCCATAGACCCAAGTATTCCACAGATTCTCAACACTTTTGCACACTGAAATCTTCACTGCCATTGTCTCATTTACAGTAACACTAACAAAGCAAAGTCTTGGCAGGCTGGGTAAAGGACAAAGCCGTAATGCTCACCCGCAGCGACTCTGGAGGCAGCTTCTAAATTGCCATTTAATTGAATAATCCTCACAGCCCCGAATGCAGATGTAGGAAGGATGGAAACATAAGCACGATTCTGCTCATTGGCAGTCACTGTTTACCATGGACGACTGTGCGGTCTGTTTCTCCTCCACAAATCCATTTCTCCGTCTGTATTGATTTTCGAAAGGCTGATTCAGTACAAACAAGAAGATGCATTTCTCAGTCCTTGGAATGCATCGTTCTAATACTGAGGCTTGGTGGCTTTGTCTCTATGACTGACTGAGGGAAAGATAAGTTGGGCCCACGTCACTTCAGTATTTCTGAATCCTGGTCACCCATGTCGTTAGAGTAAATTAATTATTTTGTGAGTATTATCGGAAGACCTACTAAGTGTGACAGGGACGCATGCAGACAATGATACGTGGCACATTAAAATACCAGGGACAAAGTGGCGAGTGTTGTATTGGATTCACAGAAGCTGGGCCATGCCCAGGCTCAGAATGCGGCAGTTCAATGAGGAAGTGTCTGAAGTTACTCAGTACAGCAGGGGAGGACAGACTTTCTCTGTCAGAGCTCAGACGGTGAATACTGTAGGCTATGCTTGGGCTGTAGTACTATTCCACAGGCTGTCGCAGCCTGCTGAGACAGCCGTGGACAATCGCAATGAGCAACAGGCCTTGCTCTTCCAGTAAACTTTATCAGAAATTTACAAAATGATACAAACAACTTGCCCTTGACCAATCCCTGCAGTAGGGTGCTACAGGATATTTGAGACACAGAAATTAAGAATAACAACGATTCCTTTGGCTAAAGGGAATCCTCAGTAAAAGATGTACCAGGACTGGGCCCTGGCAACTGGCAGATCAGGCTATGCCAAGGTGAGAAGCCAGACAGCAGAAACAAAGCTGGGTAATAGACAAGTAGGGAAGGGAACAAGCAGGGTGTCAGGCTGGCCGAAAGAAGGCGGGGTGGCCATGGAGAGTTCAGAGAGGAAAGAAGGCAGGCCAGAGCAGAGAAGGCCCTGAACACCAGATGAGGCACCTTGTTTTCCAGACTTTGTTGTGGATTGAGCTTTGCTTTCGCTGAAAGTTTTTGAGCATCACATTATACGTACATTATTTATCTCTCGTGTAGTGCCTTCCAATTGTTTTGTTAACATGTGCGCATTATAAAATGAACTACAACAATGACATCCAAGCAAACAGAAAAGAAAGTGGCATAGTCCCTCTGGATATCCCGGTGCCTTGCTGTGTGTAGTCTCTGGTGCATACTTTGCTGTGCCTCAGAGCAACATTTCTGAAGTACGGTCTGTGAAATCATAAGTCAGTCCACAGAATACTGATAAGGAAGTATTTCTCAAGCTAGATATAAGGAAAGGCAAAGAGGGTTCCTTCATTGCATATTTCTAGCTTATTCTGAGAATGAACAACATACACTTTCGATTCAAGAAGGAAGAGTTGTATATAGCACTCTCAAAACTGAGCTGACATTTAGTTGTCCATCTAAGTAACAGGGGGTCACTGCACATGTCCATTCTGATTGCTTTATCCACACCCAAGTCCAGAATGAGACCAGTTCCATAACGGCAGGAGTCAGACCTGCAGTTACTCATCACTGTCCCAGGCACAGAGGCACCTGATGACTGGCTGGATGACACTGTCAGAATCCACTTGGGCAACAGGCCTCCTACAGGACCCACAGCGAACACACCTGTCTTCGCAGTCAGTTTCTCCCAGCTGCATGACACAGGCAAAACTGCCTGGTCACTCAGGAAGATTATACTGTAAGCAGTGACCCACAGAGGAAAAGGAAAGATGTAGGGAACAAAGTCCTACAGCCGCATGGGCACTGTCACAGATCTGGACAGAAGAAGGGCCCAGAGAAGTAGCACAACGATAACTCGAGACACGATCAGAATGGCTGCTGTGTGCTGTCACCATCAGATGGAGAGAGCAAGGCTGGAGCTCGATGATACCTTGACAATCCCGCAGACAGATTCCCCAAGGGCTGGCAGGGCAACCTGCTTGCCTGCAGTCTCTCACTTCGGGGCCACTGATACAGGAGTTGGCGATTTTCAGTTGCGACAGGGTGGTCACCAGGATCCATCTTCACACTCAGCAGGAAGAATCTCTAGACGGTGAGAAGTCTCAGTGTGTGGCCCTCCCTGATGTGCCGATGGTGAGGGCCTGTGTGTGTTAGAAGGCTCTGGAGATGGCATATCAGCCAGAAGGAAGGATGCTATCCACTGAACTGTGGAACAGTCTTTCCCACACCACCCACATCCTTGAAAACTCATCACTCCCCAGTTTAGGGGTTGGCAAACTGTTTTTGTTAAGAGCCAGATAGTAAATATTTTAGGTTTTGCAGGCCAGACAGTATCTGTTGCAATATTCAATTTGTCTGTTTTAGTGAAAGCAGCCAAATGCAATACATAAACAAATGGGTGTGGCTGTGTTCCAATAAAACTTTATTTACAAAAACAAGGAGCTGTCAGGAGATGGCCTGTGAGCCCTAGTTTCTTTGAATCCTGCCCTGATTCCCTCTGCACTCTTTTCATGTGAGAGGCACCTAATCTGATACATCAAGAAATC